TCAGTAACTCTCCGGATGTTTCCAAAAAGCTTTCGGATGCCCTGGGGCCTCTTGTGGGGCCGGCCTGCTCTCGGGTGGCGAATTTAGGTTCTGATTTCACTGCGGGCAGACCTGTCCGTTCTAAAGGCCGCTCGGCCAAGTTAAAAGCGAGAGCGGCGGCTGCGCTGCGGAAGACCAGAAAGCTTCAGGGCCTCCAGGAGGCCCTCGGCCGTAAGCGTTTGAAGGTTTTTGCGGCGGGTCCCTTGGCTGGAGCTGTTTACGGCTCGGATCTGCTTGGGGTTTCGGACAGGGAGATGCTCGACCTTAGAAGGATGGCCATGTCGACGGCCAAACCCAGAGCCCAGGGACGCTCCCTTAGTGTTTTGTGTCTTCTCTCGGATGACCCCACTTGGAGGGGCAGTTGTGCGCCTGTCATCCGCTGGGCCAAAGAGGTTTGGACCCTGCGTACTCATGGATTTCCGTGGACCTTGAGTTGGGCTGAACTCAGGGATGGCTGGAGTTCCGTCTTTACGTCTGATGGCCACTCTTGGTCCAAAGTGGCTGGGCCCATCTCTGCTCTGCGTATGACTTTGTTTAGGCTGGGTTGGGCCATGCCAATTGTTTGCACCATCCTTGATGATTTTGGCCGCGAAATCTTTTTGACCTTGTCGTCTCCCAAGCTCATCAAGCTTTAATGTAAGGAAGCCCATCTTCGGGGCCTTGAAAGAGATTCTGGGGACAAATATGGTTGTGATTTCAGGCTTTGTTGGGATGTTGTCAAGCAGCTTTTGTCTTCCAGGAAGGTTTCTAGCAAAGCCAAAGGTTGGATCCGTGCTCAGGCCACTAGGGCTTGCTGGACGGCAGGTGATGTGGCTGCTGCTGGGTACGAATTTTCCGACAAGTGTGCGTTGTGCGGCAAGGGCCGCGACACTCTTCCACGGGCTCTTCGTGTGCCCGTGCGTGCAGTCTGAAAGGGATGCGGTGCTGGGCAAAAGTATTCAGAATGAAGCGTTGGAGCTAGGTGCTGATCACGTTGACATGTGCCTGTATTTGTACGGAGTTCAAACATCCTGGAGACTATGCGCCACCGCCGCTCACCGACGGAGGCACCAGCCTGGAATGGTTCGTTGATGCGCTTCCTGACCCATCAGACTTTGCTGCTGCTCCCTCTATTCCTCCCTCCATTGGGCTCTGGGGGCACCTCTTTATGGACGGCTCATGCCGTCGCCATGTAGTGCGTGAGCTCTCCAGGGCTGGCTGGGCCGTTGTCATGGTTTCGAGTTCGGGCGAGCGCCTCGGGGTCTTGAAAGGTCCTTTGTGGGCTTCGTGGCCTCAGACCCCCCGTGGATCCGAATTTGGAGCCCTGGCCTGGACCGCTGTGCAAACCGAGGGCCCCGCTATGTGCTATTCTGACTGTGCTAATGTTGTTTATTTAATGAACCTTGGTGCTGCTGACAGTATTAGTGCCAAGCGACAGTATGCTGGTCAAATCATTTAGGCCAGGCATTACTTCGGCCCCAACCTTGTCTCGTTAACTAAGGTTGAGGCCCACAAAGATGTTGACGAAGAAGGGCTCTCTGAGCATGAGAGATTCTTGCGAAGAGGGAACTTCTACGCTGACGTCTATGCCAAGGAGGGTGCTAGTCAGCACCCTGAGATGGCTCCCGCAGAGCAGGGGGCTCTCGACCATCATATCAAGGTATCGAGGGCGATCTTGCTGGCGGGAGCGGAGCTCTTGCCACTATGGCCGAAGCTGGAGTTTCAAGGTCTGCCGCGTTTCCCTTCGACGCTTGGCCATGTGGCTCCCGTTTTAGAGCTCGTCCACGACTGGTCCCAACAAGGTTCCTCCTGGCGGTGTCGTGTGTGGAGGAGGGAGGAGGGAGGAGGGAGGAGGGAGGAGGGAGGAGGGAGGAGGGAGGAGGGAGGAGGGAGGAGGGAGGAGGGAGGGGAGAGGGGAGAGGGGGAGAGGGAGGAGGGGAGGGGAGAGGCGGAAGGGCGGAGAGCGGAGGGCGGAGGGCGGAGGGAGGGCGCGAGGGCGGAGGGCGGAGGCGGGAGGGCGGAAGGCGGAAGGGAGGAGGGAGGGGGATGAGGGCGGAGGGCGGAGGGCGGAGGCGGAGGCGAGGGCGAAAGAGGCGGAGGGCGGAAGGCGGAGGAGGAGGGCGAGGGAGAGGGAGGAGGGAGAGGGAGGATGAGGAAAGAGGAGGGAGGAGGAGGGACACACGGGGGAGGGAGGAGGAGGGGGAGGAGGAGGGAGGAGGGAGGCGAGGAGGGAGGGAGGGGAGCGGAGGGAGGAGTGTTGAATACAGGGTGTTGTGTTGGGCACGGGGGCTGGTGAGTACTGTGTTCTGTGTTGGGCACGGGGAGAGTTGAGCACGATGAGAGCGGGGGCGGCGGCGGGCGTGCGCGGGGGGTGGGGGGCGGCTGGTGGGATCGGGGTTTTCATGGAACTCCTAAGGAGGGTGTTTTGCAGCGGGAGCCAGTTGAGTACAAGTGTTGTGTTGGGCACGGAGGCTGTTGAGTAATTGGTGATGTGTAGGACGCGGAGGCTGTTGAATACTGTGTTTTGTGCTGGGGGCGGAGAACATTGAGCACAAGGAGAGCGGGGGCGGGCGGCGGGCGGGCGCGCGGGTCGGCGGCGGGCGGCGGGCAGGATCGGGATTTGTCTTGCAGCGTGAACCTGTTGAGTACAGGGTGTTGTGTTGGACGCGGAGGCTGTTGAATATAGGGTGTCGTGTAGGACGCGGAGGCTGTTGAGTACTGGGTGTTGTGATGGACGCAAAAGAGCTGAACAATGAGAGCGGCGGCGGGCGGCGGACGGGTGCGCGGGCGGGCGGCGGGCGGCGGGCGGGAACTCCTAAGGAGGGTGTCTTGCATTGGGAGCCTGTTGAGTACAAGGTGTTGTGTTGGGCACGGAGTTTGTTGAGCACTGGGTGTTGTGTAGGACACGCAGGCTGTTCAGTATTGGGTGTTGTGTTGGACACAGAAAGAAATGAACACAAGGAGCGCGGGGGCGGGCGGCGGGCGGGCGCGCGGGTTGGCGGCGGGCGGCGGGCGGGACCAGGATTTTAATATAATTCCTAAGGAGGGTGTCTTGCAACGGGAGTCTGTTGAGTACAGTGTGTGTGTGTGTGTAGGTGTGGGACGTGGACGCTGTTGTGTACTGGCTGTTGTGTCGGATACGGGGGATGCGGAAGGGTTTCAGGGAAGGGCGCACCAGGGACCTCGAGCCACATTTTGGTGAATGTGATGATGATGATGATGATGATGATGATGATGATGATGATGATGATGCTGATGATGATGATGCTGATGATGATGATGTTGCTGCTGATGATGATGTTGATGATGATGGTGATGATGATGTTGATGATGAGGGTGTTGATGACGAGTGCTCATGATAATTATGAGTATGACGGGGAATGATCATGCAGGGGGATATCTAACATGGTAGTCCCCAGCTGGAACCATGTCGTTTATGTGTTCAGGCCACCCAAGGTGGTATCCAGCATGTGTGCCCCGAGTTGGAACCACGTGTTGTCACGTGTCCAGGCTACCCACGGGGGTATCTAACATGGAATTCCCGAGCTGGAGCCATGTGTTTTTTACGTGTCCAGGCCGCCCAGCGGGGTATCTAACATGGTTGCCCCTAGCTGGAACACGATTTTTTCACGTGTTCAGGCCACACCTGGATGGCCTCTAGCATGGCGGTCCCGAGCTGGAGCCATGTGTTTCCACGTGTCCTGGCCACCCAGGGGGTATCTAACATGGTGGTTCCGAGCTGGAACCTTGTGTTTTCATGTGTCCACGCCGCCCGAGGGGTATCTAACATGGTCGTCCCGAGCTGGAACCACGTCCCACACAGGAGGGTATCTAACATGGCTGTTCCGAGCTCAAACCACGCGTTTTCATGTGTCCAGGCCACACAGGGGGGTATCTAACATGGTTGTCCCGAGCTGAACCACGTGTGTTTACGTGTCCAGGCCACCCAGGGAGTATAATGTTTTTTTTTTTCGTGTGTCCAGGTCTTCCAGGCGGATGTCTGACATGAGGATGTTTTGAAGATGTCTCTAGGAAGACGCTTGTTTTCAGGTGTCTTGTGTTCACCTGTCCAGGCCACCCACGAGGGTATCTAACATGGAATTCTCGAGCTGGAGCCATGTGTTTTTACGTGTCCAGGCCGCCCAGCGGGGCATCTAACATGGTTGCCAGAGAGGGCTCGCAGAAGGGAGGGCAGGCCTCCCTGGCTCGCCCTTCCCGGCCCCCCCCGAGAAGACCTCGAGACCCCTGCCCCACGCGCCCACCCCCCCGAGGGGAAAACAAAGCTTCGAGGGACCCTGCCCCACGTGCCCCCCCCAGGGGAAACAAAAAAAGCTACCGGGGGGAACAAAAAAACCGCCGGGGGGGAAAACAAAAGGCCCCCCCCCGGGGGTGAAAAAAAAAACCGCCCGGGGGAAAAAAAAAGCCGCGCCCCCCCCTGGGGGGAAAAAGCCTCGGGGGAAAAAAACCGTCTCCCCCAGTTCAGGCTGTACCTCGCCCAGACCGGCGCTGCGCTCACCGTCGGTACCGTCGGCGTCACGGCCACCGTGCTTGCCACTCCCATCGCGGGTGGCCTCGCTGGAGGCGGCACCGCAGTTGTCACCTCCGGAATGCTCATGAAGTACACGACGAAGCTCACCCAGAAGTACCCGTGCCTGAAGGAAATGGCGGCAAAACAGCAAATGCTGGCGGATCTGAGGACCGAGATCTTGAACGAGGTCGACGCGAAGTTCAAGGCCCAAGCAGCCGCGGAACTCAGCACAGCACAGGTCGATCAGGAGGAAAGCGTGTGCGAGGCGCTGTGAGCGGGGACTCGTGCTGGGGCAACCAGGGCCCGCGGCTTCCGCTGCAGAGCGGCAGACCCTAGCCCAGGGGCACGCCCGGCGCTGGAGGGGCGCGACCAGCCTGCCGGCAGTGGCGCAGAACATCGGCGCCCTCTCCGCCTGTCCGCCAGGGTCTCGAACCCTCCGCCGACCAGGAACCGCTCCCAGCATCTTCGTGAGAGGCCCACCGGAGCTCCGTTTCGTCCTTATGTGAACCTGCGGGCCCCCTCTCTTCTTCCCCCCGCACCTGCCCCGCGACATCCGACGTCGCGGAAGCGACGCAGCGTCGCGGACACATCGCGACCAGAGACCTCCCGGCCCCTGTCTTCACGCCATGCCTTTCGAGCCAGATCGATTCATGAGGGCCCCCCAAGGGGGGCGGCAGACGGGTGACTCCCGCGTTGCGCCATAAGACGTCTCGGCAGGGCGGGCCAGGCATCTCGCTCGAGGCTTCCTTGTGGCTTGTGCCCCAGAAGCTTGACATCTCCAGCAGTTGCACGCATGGAGGGCGAATCGTTTCTACCAGCGGTTACTCAGAACGAGGAGAGGCGGGAAGCTTTCAACATGTGGTACGTACCCGCCTCAGCGCCGCGCCCTTTCGTCTTGAATCTGGAGCGCTTCAGCAGCTCCATGGATGTGAGGCGCACGGCTTTCAAACTGCGTCTCTCGCCGCATCGCCGTGCGCTTTCGTCTTGCACGTTTCCAGCAGCAGGCACGAGGACGGAGGCTCTCGCCTCTGCGCCGCGATGAGTCGCGCTAGGCGCTTCCAACAAGCTACAGGCATCGCGGCGGTGCACTGCGTCTTCCGGATTCCCGTGGGGCTTGGGGCAAGACTGGGCCAGAAGGCTGGGGAGAGAGAGGGGGAGCGGAGAGCAGGAGGGGGCAGTAGAGCCTGGGTATTCGCAGCCCCAACCCGACCCCAGCCTCGGCCGCGGGGCGTCGGCGAGTGGACGCGGCGGGGGGAGGGAAGTGCATCCAGGAACAGCGGCTCCGACGTCCCCCCCACCCCCCCGCGCCCAGACCACCCCGCTCCAGCCAAACCCTCGAAGAGGGACGGAGGAGCAGGGGGAAGGGAGGGAGAGGCGCGGCACGGTTCAAGAGGGAGGGGGGGGATCAAGAGAGGGGGACCCGGCCCAGCCCAGCCCAACGTGGCCCAGCAAGCACAGAGGGAGGGGGAGGGATGCACGGAGGCGGAGGAGAAGGAAGAGGAGGGAGGAAGGGTGAGGAGGTGGAGGGGCAGGAGGGCGATGAGGATCAGGCAGAAGAGGCGGATGATGATGATGATGATGATGATGATGGTGATGATGATGATGATGATGATGATGATGATGATGATGATGATGATGCTGATGAGTATGATGATCATGCTGATTATGATAATGATGCTGATGATGGTGATGCTGTTGATGATGCTGATGATGATGGTGATGGTGATGGTGATGATGGTGATGGTGATGATGATGGTGATGGTGATGATGATGGTGACGATGATGATGATGATGATGATGATGCTGATGATGATGATGATGATGATGATGATGATGATGATTACGATGGTGATGAGGATGAGGATGCTGATGCTGCTGACGATGACGATGATGCTGATGCTGATGATGGTGATGCTGATGCTGCTGATGCTGTTATTGATCATGCTGATGCTGCTGATGGTGATGATGATGCTAATGCTGATGCTGATGATGATACTGATGATGATGATGATGATGGTGGTGGTGGTGGTGGTGGTGGCGGTGATGATGATGATGATGATGATGATGATGATGATGGTGGTGGTGTTGGTGGTGATGCTGATGCTTGGGGATACTGCTGTGTATGATGAGGATGAGTATGAGGTTGATGCTGCTGCTTCTGCTGATGCTGCTGATGAGGATCTTAATGAGGACGATGCTTATGACGATGCTGTCGCTGCTACTGATGCTACTGCTGATGATGCTGATGCTGATGATGATGCTGATAATGATGCTGCTGATGATGATGATGACGATGCGCTGATGATGCTGCTGACGATGATGATGCTGATGATGATGGTGGTGATGATGCTGATGATGAGGATGATGATGGTGATGCTGGTGCTGATGCTGATGATGCTCAGGATTGTGGTGATGTTGGTGGTGGTGGTGGTGCTGCTGATGATGGCGATGATGAGGATGATGAAGATTCTGACGATGCTGATGATGATGATGCTGATGCTGATGAGTATGATGATCATGCTGATTATGATGATGATGCTGCTGATGATGATGATGATTGATGATGATGATGATGATGATGATGATGGTGGTGGTGGTGGTGGTGGTGGTGATGATGATGATGATGATGATGCGGGGGACGATGGCGATGATGCTGCTGCTACTGATGATGGTAGCGATGATGATGGGGACGACGACGATGCTGCTGCTGCTGATGCTAACGGCGATGATGATTGCCATGATGATGACGATGATGTTTGTGGTGGTGGTGGTGGTGATACTCATGATCGTGGTGGTGGTGATGGGGAGGAGAGGGGGATCTACAACCCTTGGTAATTATCATCCTATACCACAGAAGCGCATATGTTCCTCCTCATCACTCGCTCCTCTTTCTCCTCTCTCCTCCTCCTCGTCCTCCTCCCTGTTCCTCCGGCCGCTTCCAGGACAGGCACCTGAAGGTCAAGGGTGCGGAGGACCGTGGGGGCCGCACAAGAAACAGTTGAAAGAAGAGGGGCGGAGGGATGGAGGACTGGAGGATGAGGGCGAGAAAGAGGGGGATGAGGAGGGGGACGTGGAGGGCAAGAAGGAGGGAAGAAAAAGGGGATGATCACGATGATGATGAGGAGGGGGATGGATGACCAGTGTAAACCCAAGACGCGTCAACGATGTTGCAAGACACCCTCCCTCCAAGTTCCTTCTTCTGAGGCCCCTACAGCAATTTCTTTTCACTGCTAGGATTGTCCCGCTGGAAGTCAATTGCCCGAGAACCTGCAATCGTACCAGAACTCCATTCCTGAGACTTCAACGCCGCGAATCCACGTGACTGTTGCGCCCTGACAACACTATGTCGTGCCAGAACACCATTCCTGGGACGTCAACCACAAGAACCCGTGTAACTGTTGCACATTTTAAGGCGAACGTACTCGGGGCTGAAGCGGGTTCAATATCCTGAACAAGACCCCCCCGCCCATCCGTGAAATTGTTGCACAGTGTTAAAGGCGAATGTGCGCGGCGCGAAGGCGGCAGCTACATTTTGCAAATCACCCGCCCTCCATCCGTGAAGCTCTTTATATACAAACTTCTACTGCGAATGTGCGCGGCGCTGAGGCGAGAACCACATTTTGAAAAGGAATCGTGCTCGAGTGAAGCTCGCGCAAACCCTTCAAGGTGAATGTGCGCGGCGCGAAGGCGATTGCCACATTTTGGAAATGACCCACCCCCAACCCGTGAAACTCCTGCAACCTTTCAAGACGAATGGGCGTGGCGCTAATGCGAGAGCCACATCTTGGAAAGGAGCCGCTCTCCACCCGTTGTTTTTACGCAAGATTTTTGGAACGACTGTGCGCGGGGACAGGGGCAAGAGCCACAGTTTGAAAACCACCCGCCGTCCATCCGTGAAGCTCTGGCAAAGTTGACGAATGTGCGCGGCCTACAGGCGAGGACCACATTTTGAAAACGACCCGCTCTCCATCTGTGGCACTCTGGCGAGCATCAAGACCAAAATGCGCGGCGCTGCGACGAGAGACACATTTTGAAAACGACCCGCCCTCATCCGTGAAACTCTGGCAAACTTTTAAGGCGAATGCGCGGGGCAGTGAGGCGAGAGCCACATTTTGCACACGACCCGCCTTCCATCCGTGAAGCTGTTGCAAGTTTCAGGCTTCAGAACCGTAAGCGGTGAGGAAGTCTCAGGCGACACGCCAGGCCTGCCTTACCGACACGTCTCGGGTGCAAGGTGGAGGGGTTATCCATAAGGAAAAGGTGGTGATGCTGATGATGATGATAAGCATGATGCTGCTGATGATGGTGGTGGTGGTGGTGACGACGACGACGACGATACGGATGATGCTGATGATGGGGATGCTGCTGCTGTTGTGATGATGATGGTGGTGGCGATGATGATGATGGTGATCACGAAGCTGATGCTGATGAGGAGGAGGAGGTGGTGCATGACGATGATAATGCTGCTGCTGATGATGATTGTGATGCTGAGCATGATGATGATGAAGGAGCAGAAGACGGTGGTGGGTGGTGGTGGTGATGATGATGATAATGCTGATGCTGCTAAATATGATGACGCTGATGATGGTGATGGTGATGATGATGACGACGATGATGCTGATGATGTTAATGATGATGATGGTAATAATAATGCTGCTGTCGCTGATGCGGAGGATTATGTAGATGATGATGATGATGCTGATGCTGCTGAGGATGATGCTTGTTTTGATGATGCTTGCGATGATGCTGCTGATGAAGATGACGATGATGCTGATGATGCTGATGATGCTGATGCCGATGATGATGATGATGCTGATGTTGATGCTGTTGCTGACGATGCTGATTATGATGCTGATGATGCTGATGCTGACGATGATGACGATGCTGCTGATGATGACGATGCTGATGATGGTGATGACGATGCTGATTATGATGATGCTGCTGCTGATTATGCTGATGATAATAATGTTGATGTTGTTGATGATGATGCGGATGCTGCTGATGACGATAATGATGATGATGATGATGACGATGATGATGATGATGATGATGAGGATGATGCTGCTGCTGCTGCTGCTGCTGATGATTATGAGTATGATTATAATGATGATGATGATGTTGATGATGATGATGATGCTGATGATGATGATGACGATGATGATGATTATGATGATGATGATGATGATGATGATGATGATGATGATGATGATGATGATGATGATGATGATGATGATGATGATGATGATGATGATGATATGTGTGTGTGTGTATGTGTGTGGGTGGTTGTGGTGGCTGTGGTGGTGGTGGTGGTGGTGGGTGAGGAGGAGGAGGAGGAGGAGGATGAGGAGGAGGAGGCAGGGGTAGGGGGAGGGCGGGAGGAGGGAGGGAGGGAGGATGTGCAGGAGGAGGAGGAGAAGCAGGAAGAGGAGGAGGAGGAGGAGGAGAAAGAGAATGAGGAGGAGGAGGAGGAGGAGGCACAGGACGGAGAGAGGGAGCCAGGGAGGCAATTAGGAGGAAGAGGGCGAGGAAGAGGAGGTAGAGTTGGAGGAGGAAATTACCCTTTCCTGTGCCCCCCCGGTTCCCTGATGTCTGGCTGGGCAGATCTCTGCGCTACTTCGAGCTGCTCTGCGTTGCATTGCGTTGCGTTGATTTTCAGTGGGTTGTTTTGTTTTGATGTGCGGTGCGTTTTCTTTCTTTGCGCAGATTTGGGTTGCTTTGCGTGGCTTCGCATTGCTCCCTTTTGCCCTTTGCTTTGCGTTCCTTGTTTTGATTTGACTTGCTTTGCTAACGTTGCTCTGCGTTCTTTTTTGTTATGTTCCGTTGCTAACGTGCTTTGCGTTGCTTTGCTGTGCCTCGCTTTGATTTGGCTTGCACTGTGGTGCATTGCTTTGTTTATTTTGCTTCGTAGTTCCGTGCGTTGCGTTGGATGATCTGCAGTGCAATGCTTTGCATTGCGTGTCTTGTATTGTCTTGCTTTTATTTATCAATGTTTTGCATTGCATCGCTTCGCTTTCTTTGCGCTGTTTATCACTGGCTTGGCTTTGTTTTGCATCACAGTGTCATGCTTTGTTTCACTTTGCACTGCATGCAGTACAATAAGTAGCATTGCAGCTGCATTGCGTGGTTCTGCCTTTGCGTTACAATGCAGGCCAGTGCATGGCTGCAATTCGCAGCTCATTGTAGCAAGACAAAGCAACGGCATGACAGGTGGCAGCTTCCCCTCCGTTTGAACAGAGCTAGGTTTTCGACGTTTCAGCATTCAGTCGTCCTGCATTTCCCTTTCGTGTACCTTTTACTTCAATGAAGAGCTAGCTCCGACTTGGAATCGCCCCATGCTCGTACGCTGGAATCCAACATCCTCCTCCCTCATCCCTCCTCCGTCCTCTGCCCCTCCTCTCTGCTTCCTCCATTCTCTTTCCCCCCCGCTTCCCTTCTCCCCTCGCAGACATGTCATGGTGGTAGGGCATCAGTGGCAGTGGCACAGTTAACTGGACTGGTAATGGTAGTCGTAGTCGTGCAGTCAGCACTGATGGTAAGGATGACCGACTTCTCAAGGGTAACCTTTGCATCCTTGCCCCTTCTGTCATCTTTGTTCCATCCTCAACCACTCGTGATGGCCAGCCCCGCTCGAAGAGCCTCGGCATAGGCGTCCAAAGCCCTTGCATTCTTATCGCGCATTCTTACCACCGGTTTTGACTGAAGTCGTAGTCGTAACCGTAACAGACGTTACAGCCGTACATTTGCCCGCCTTTCAGCAGTCGAGGCGGTGGTCGTGGTGGTCCTAGTCGAAGTGGCGGTTGGCGCACGTACGTACGTTGTTCGCGGTAGCAGTCGATTCGGTCGTGGTATTTGTAAGATGTGAGATGGCATTTGTAATCGTACATGGTAGTTTTGTTTTTGCTGGTGGTATGCGTAGCAGTGGTGCTCGAAGTCTGGTGGCGGCGTCGTCGGCATCAGCGTCGGTATCAACGGCGGCCAGATCAGGCAGCTGCATCAGTGTCAGTAGCAGGAGCAGCAGCGCTAGTTGACGGAACGAGGGAGTGGAAGAGAGGAGTTCGCTGCGCGCGAGGCTTGGGGCACGTGCATTGTGACCATTGCCGTCGGGCAGGCCCAAATTGAGGCCAGCAAGATTGCCAGCAGGATCGTGGGGCTCACGAGCAGTGTTCGGGCCGTTCGTGTTGGGGCGCCTTGGGGCACCGTCCTCCTTTCTCCTCCCTTCTCTCCCACCCGTCCCTCTCTCAGTCCCTTCCCCCTGCCTCTTGCATTAATCGTTTCCTCATCTGGCTCTCCCTCTCTTGTCTCCGTCTCTCGCACTCGCTATCTCACGCCCTCTGTTCGTATCTTTCTCAATTCCTCTCTTCCCCTCTCTCTCGCTCTGCAGTTTGCTGTCCCCCTCGTTTCGCTTCGTCTCGCGCTCATGCGGCGCACACCGGGTCTCGGGCCGACCGCCCGCTGGGCGGCCCAGCGTCCAGTCCCGACGCGCCGCCCCTCCCCCCAGAGCTGCCGACATCGACCGCTCCCAGGGAGGATATGGACGCCGCCGTGTAGTGGCCTTTCACACCCCGTTGTGCCCCCACATCTTCGTCCTCTGGCAACCGCCCTCCCCGTCGGGCAAGGGCGGGCAGACAGCGTGGGCTCCGCCTCGGGGGGAGAAAGAGAGAGGCGCCCTCACCACTGGCTTTCAGTGGACAGCGCGCTCGGGACGTCAGGGGGAGAGGAGGAAGAGGAGGACGACGAGGGCGTGAAAGTGGACGCGGTTGCTGCGGGGCACTACGCACTGGCCTCCCACGCCCTGGTCGGGGGTAATTCTCACGGCGCCTCTGGGGTCGGGAACGCTAGCAGCGTTATCAGCGCAAGCGGCGCACCAACTTAGCCAGTGTGCGGTGCGCGTGCTTGCGGTGCCAAACCCTCGCAGAGAAGGACTTGCAAAGCCATCCCAGGCTGGCGCCGCACCCGCAAGTGCAGGCGGCAGCCCGCCCCGGCCAAAAACAAGGGGCCGCTGGACCTCCTCTCCCTCGCCCTCCTCCTCTCCCTTCCTCTCTCCCCCTCCGCTTCTCCCCCCCCTCCCCTTACTCGAATGGTAGCTCCTTGTCATGTGCCCTGTTTACCACCTTTGCTGGCCCGCTGCGCTGTCTCGGCTCAAGGCCTGAACAGTGCACCGTGCCCGCCTTAGACGCGCTGGCATTCCGCCTTCGACAATTATGCGCTGTGCTTCCTTGACGGGAATCATCGTTTACATTCTGACATCCACATTTTCTGTTGGTAGCGGAGCATGTTCACCTCTGCTCCCACCGCGGCCGCTATGTTTCGCCTCGCGTCGACTGCAATGGCTTCCACCCTCCGCCGCCTTCGACTTCGGTCAACCGTCTTCAACATCAACGCCTTTGTGAATTTCCTCCCTCTCGCTATAGCAGGATACGTTGATCTAGGGTCCGTCGGGGCTGTATTTGCCAATCCGCCACGACTCACCACCGGGAGCGTGCGCACCGCCTTTAACACTTCCGCCTTCGTGCGCCTCTTCCGGTTCAGTATTGCAGGAGACGTTGCTCGAGGGTCCGCCGGGGCATCCGCCCATCCGCCAAGACAAATGACCGACAACGTGCACAACCAGTAGTACTTCGTCAAGGACAACACCACCCAAATCCACAAGGACCGCTCATTGACCCATCCCGGGCATGTTCGGATTGTGTCCAAACAGCTCGCGGACCCCACGTGTCAGCGCCCCCTGCCCGTGGGTGTAGTTTCAGGTGTTAAACAGTTGCCCGACGCAGCTCTCGCAGTCGCAGCGTCAGAACAAGGTCCCGGGCTTCTTGGGACTGTGTTTCGAGAGCCCTGGGAGAAGCGAGCAGAGAAGAGGCATCCAGCGACCTGCGTCGCCGGTGCCGAGCGGGGATGTAGTGGGGGGTATGGGACTTGTGTTTTCACCCCCCCGAGGTAATGCAGTGAAGAGCGTGACGAATGCGAAAACATACGTCACTCCGAGGCGCCGCACATCGGGACCCGACCGTCCGCTCTGCCCAGTCAGGCCCGCCAGCTGGGCTGTGCAGGATCTCGATGCGCGCTCCTCTAGACGGTCGTGCAGTTGGTGGTGCTCAGTGCGGTGACCGCACGACGTGCGAAGAGCCTTCCCGTGATTGTGTCGTGGGGTGTTCCGAGTACCGCGAGCACCACAGTGACGCGACAGAAGCAGACGCCCAAGGCGCTGACGAGGAGCCACACGTCCGGGCCATGTATCCTCGGCGGTTCATGAATCATGCAGCTCCAGTTGAGGGTCCCCGGCCTCCAGCACGTCCACGACGCGGGGCAGAATCTACATTCCGGATGGAAGGCCATCGGAGTCGGCATGTGCGCCGTCGCGAGCTGCGTCGTCTGCGTGGAGGCAGGTGGTTGTAGCGGCAACATGCGCCACCTACCCACATGGGGGCCCAAACGCCAGGATCGCGTACCCTTCTAACATGGGTGCGCGAGGTGATGATCAGTCGCGAACTCAGACCTCAACGAGTTTCGCCAGGTGGCCTACGTCTCGTCGCGCCTTGCCCGCGCGGCGCGCCAGTGCGTGGTCGACTGGCCGCCGGCTGTTCGGATTCAGAGGGGGTTCATCAATGGCAAGGAGGAGCGCGCCTCGGCAGTATCGCCTCTGATGAACTTCAACCAGCTGCCGCGGGGGCGCATCGATAACATCCTGGCGATGTTCGACATCCTCCGCGACTGGGCGCAGCAAGCTGGTCAACTCACGATCGGCTACGAAGGGCTGGGCTTCCTCCTGCTGCGCGCCGTTGGCGCGTCGGACACCTGACTCGCCGTGCCCCCGCAGCGCCGTGACGTGGCCTGCCCCGCGAACGCTCAGCAGCTCACCCGCGTGATGGGCCAGCCGCGACGCTTTGGGCACGTGATAGAGGGGTCGCCGGGCAACCTCGCCTCGGCGGCCCGCTCTGTCCGACGGCGCGCGTTCCTCGCGGGCGCGGCCGCGCAGGAGCACAGCAGGGGCGGCATGGGTCCTGCTGCGCTGGGAATGCCACCGAGCCTCCTTGCACCGGCCGGAGCCGCGTCCAGAGGCTTGGCCTCCAGCGCGGCGCCGCCGGCGCGGAGGGCGCGCTCGGCAGCGGAGATCGACTCGGGCACCGACGCCGGCGTCGTCAGCTCACCTGGCGAGGAGGTAGCCGGTGGCGACCCCGAGTTATGCCGTGGAGCAGCGCGGTACGCACCTCTTTTGGGCCTGCGAGAGCGCCGAAGCACGCCGGCGCAGCTTCGGCAACCGCAGGCCTGCGCGCCGCGCTCGGAGAGCCGACGTGGCCGTCATGCGAGTCTATGCGCCCGCGGGCAACTCACCATCTTGCGTGAAGTGTGACGAAGTCTTGGTGGAGCGCGCCGTTTCTGAGTTTGGGGGCCTCCAGGGCTTTGAGAGTAAACTGTGAGCAGGTATCGAGCGGCCGCCAGTGTCGTCTTAGCAGGGTTTTCGCATATTCGAATGCACTCCGAGTCTCGGGCGTCAGCGACGTTCCCGAGCGTGATGCTGCATATGACCAGGGGTCTCGAATTAAGTTGTGAGGAACTATCGAGCGGGAGTCGTTGTCGTCGTAGGTGGGTGAACTTGGGTCCAGTGCGAAGAAGTCTCGAGCGCGAGCGCCGCTCCTGAGTCTGAGGGCCTCTCAGGCCAGGGCGTCTCGGAGTGCATTGTGATGAAGCATCGAGGTGGAGCCGTTGTCGTCGCAATCGGGCTTCCAACATCTTGATTGAATTGCGAGGACATCTAGAGTGAAAGCGCCGTTCCTGAGTTTGGGCCCCTCTGTCCAGGGCGTCTCGGAGTGCATCGTGAGGATGCATCTAGCGGGAGCCGTTGTCGTCGTAGTAGTTAGGCCCCCAACAGCACGGTGATCCCCAAGCCCGCGCTCGAGCGGGAGCTTCCGTTTCAAAGAAGATGCGGCCGGCGTCGAGGGGAGAATGACTGGAACCGATGTCCTCCTCCCCCTCCTCTTCCCCCTCCTCCTCCTCCTCCTCCTCCTCCTCCTCCTCCTCCTCCTCCTTCCTCTCCTTTTTGTTTCCTCGTACCGGCCGTGTTTCACGATTTAGGTGGCACTGCGAGTAGTTTCCGATGCTTGGGTCAGGGGTTTTCTGCCTGCGAGCTTGTGGAAGCTTTCAATTTCCTTGCCCATTCACGCATTGACGGTGGTCGGGACACATCGAGACAACCGATATCAGAGATCAAACATAGCTACTCGACGCGGAGATCCCCCATATTTGTGTGTTTTATTTTCCTGCTGGCACGTCTCGCTGAGAGTGTTCGTCTGTGAGTATCTGGATGTGCATTTGTATTGGCGGCCCCACCTTGGGGGTGTCGAAACCAGCGCCTCGCTTGGGACATCCTCATTATCTATATGCTGGATGAGAAAGGAGGCGAAAGAAGAGAAGGATGAGGGGGAGGAGAGGAGTGAGGAGGGGAGTGAGGAGGATCAGGAGGATGAGAAGGAGGAGGAGGAGGAGGGAGGAAGAAGGGAGGACGTGGAGGCAGAGGGACAAGAGGACGATGAGGAGCAGGCAGAGGAGACAATGATGATGAGGTGGAGGGAAGGAGACAGGAGGAGGGAGGAGGAGGAGCAGGAGGAGGAGGAGGAGGAGTAGGAGGAGGAGGAGAAGGATCAGTGTAAACCCGAGACCCATCAACGATGTTGGAATACACCTTCCCTCCAAGCTCCCTTTTCATAGGCCCCTGCAAGGGTTCACTTCCACTGAGGGAATTGTCCCGTAGGGGGACAACCGTGTGAAAATCCGGAAGCGTGTCAAACCACCACTCTCAGGAGTCCAACGCCACGAGTTAGCCTGACTGGCACGTCTTGGCGATCCAGAATTGTGCCAAAAACACCGTTCCTGTGATGTCATCACCGCGAATCAGCGTAACTGCTGCGTCCTGACAACCCTGCATCGTGCCGAAAACATGATTTCTGGCACATTAACCATGCTAATCAGTAAAGCCATTCTGTTTTATAAAATCGAATATGCGCGGCGCTAAGGCGAGATCCACATTTTGAAAGCGACCCGCCGTCAATCAGTGAAACTCTTGCAAACTTTAGAACGAATGTGCGCGGCGATAAGGCGAGAGACACATTTCGAAAACGGCCCGCCCTCAAGCCGTACAGCTCTTG